GCTGGGGCTCCCGGGGTGGTGGGGCATGCGCTCTCGAGCCTGGCGGCTGGGGTCCAGTGCAGCCGGCTTGCAGAGGGTCATGAATAGCAGAGAGGAGGCCAGCAGGAGGAAGATGCAGGCCAAGGCAATAAGCACGGGCAGGGGGGCCGCTGCCTCCACAGGGCTCCCCGGAGTGCCAGTTGTGAGGGGACTGGGGCCCTCCGTGCTCATGGCTCCTGCAACAGGAATGGGACAGAAGCTCAGAGGCAAACCAGCTGGACCCAGGCCTGGGGAGGGGAACATGGGCGGGGGCTGGGCGCTGCTAAACAGTGAGGCCCACAGCGGCGACAGGCTAAGGTCACACAGCGGGAAAACGATGGAGCTGGGCCTGAACTCGGGTCCTCTTCCTGCTGTCTCCCTGCCCACCTGCAATGGAGGAGCCAGGACTTTTAAAATCAGTTCTCATGAATCAAAATAGAATCTTAGACCTGAAAACCTGAGATCTAAGACCAACTCCTCAATAACTTGCTCTGTGAGCAGGAGTGAGTCCTGGAGTGTGGGGTGCAAAGAGCCTAGCAATTATCTGATGCCAAGGCTGCAAACGAGGGGCCCACCAGTGTGTTTCGATTGGCTCTTGCAGTATTTTTACAAATTTAAATTGTGATTAAAAAACGCAAACAACAAAAAAATAAGAGATTTCACGTAAATATCTGAACATTTTCCATCTCTTGAGATTTCCAAATTTCAACACTGGCAACATGAGCCAATTGTGCCTGGCATGCAGTGGCTGGGGCTGAGCAGCAGCTTCCTCCGTTAGATAAGGCACTGGCCCCAGCTCGCCACACTCCCCCAGGCCCACTGCACGCCTGATGCCACCTGCCTGGCCCCATGGTGCTTCCCGAGACAGCCCAGGCTCTCCCATGACGAGTGAGGAACTGAGGCCCACTAAGGGTAGGCCAGGCCCAAGGACACACTGTGAGCCAGTGACCAAGGAAAGGCCAGAACCAAGTTTCCTGACTCCTGGCCCCAGGGCCTTGCCAATCCTCTGGCTCCCAACCCTCTCCCAGGGCTCACTGAGCTGCTCTGAGAACAGGTGGAAAAGAACCCACAGAGAACAGCGGAGTTGACAGGGTGGGGCTCAAAACCCACAAACACCAGTCACCTCGTATCACATAGGATGACACTAGAGGGAGCACGGCAGAAGGTCCACAGACAGCTGCTGGCAGAGCCAGGCTGGTGGATAGCATGTGACCAGAGGACAGGTGGGCAGGTGCCTGGCCAGGCTGGTGGAATGCCAGAGGCAGGCCCAGTGCAGTCGGCCCTTCCAATTCCCCAAGAGAAGCCAGAAATCTGGATTATTAGGCAAACTTTCCCAGGGTTTAAATGTTGGCAACGAATTCAAATTCGGTTAATGTGAGATTGAGAGAGAGAGGAGTGGGGGCTAAACAAACGCGACTCCAAACACTTCGGAATGCATTTTCAAATATTTAAAACACTACAGCAGGCCAAACAAAACACACAAGCGGGCGACATCCCGCTTTGGAGCCAGCCTTTGTGATCTTTGACTTCCACAAACACAGGACAGGAAACCCCAAGGATGGTCCAATAATAACCACTTATTTCTCTTTGCTCTTGGAGACTTCGGTGAGCCTGGGGGTAGCGGATTTCCCTTCTTTCCCCAACTTGCAGCCTAGTCTAACTCACAGTCGTGTTCCTGCACCTACACTCAGCAGAGGCGCTGCAGGTGGCCGCAGAGGGTCCCTGTCAGCAGGCGGTAGGAAGTGGAGAGGGCCACCGCTCCCACCTCCCGACCCCCACCCCCAGTCCCCACCCGGGCACTCACCAGCAGCCATAGGACCAGCTTCCTTGCTGCCTACAGCCTTGCTCTGTGCCCGGCCGACTAAGGGCATCCAGTGCACCCCACCCCACTTCCTACCCACTCCCTGCCACCACTCCTTCCAGCATTTCCAGGCAGAACGGGACCCCTCCCAGCTCCCAGCTGGAAACTCTGATGCCCATCTAGCTGCGCAGGACCTCCGCCTTGCAGGCATCGCCTGGAGGGCTCTCTGGCCACAGGTTGTCCCTTCTCTGAATCTGAGCATGGAGGACAGATGGCGTGTGTCCACCGCCATCTCCCATGGAGAAAACCTGGCTGTCCCTCACTTCCACCCTGGCAGGCTGGGCAGAGTGGGAGAGCGGGCGCCTCCCTTCCCTCTCCCGCTAGACCTGGCTTTGTCTAGAAGAGTTTGGGCTCTGCTTGGCTGGGAGGAAGAAAAGCCCAGTCTGACGGGGAGAAGTCTCAATCCCGCTAATCCTACTGTTGTTTTGAGGCCTTCACGTGAATCTGGAGACCTTGTGAGGCCAGCAAAGCAGGTCCTGGCTTCAGTCCTTGGGAAGCACTCTAATAAAGAGACCCAGGAGGCTGTGATTAGCATCTGAGTCATTCCCTTGGAAGCAAGAGATTCCGAAGTGGTTGAGAGCATCAAGCCCCCTCCCTGGGCACACGCCAGGCCAGCTGCCCGGCCCCTCGGTGCCTCTGAGCAGCCAGGCCAGCTGGTTCCGGGAAAGGAGGCCTCCGCCAGACCAAGGCGCGGAACCTCCCTGAGGGCAGGGCACCCGGCGGCCCTGCTCTGGCCATAGCTCTGAAGCTTAGTCCAGAACCTTCTGTCTTGCCTCGGAGCTCCATCGAGCAGGGCCTCGGAGCACATGTTGCTGTTTGGCTTTGGACTAGCCACTGCCCCCATGAGGCCTTCCACTCTCCACAGAAGCCCAGGGCCTCCCAGTCCCCCCCCCCCCCCCCCCCCCACTTTCCTCCCCAGACCTCCGGCGGTCCCCCAGGCACTGACCTCAGAGCCAGCCCTCAGCAGTCCCAAGAGCGGGTAGAGGGTCTTCTCAGCTGCCCCAAGGAGACGCAAGGAGCACCCCGCGCCCCCTGTGGCCCCAGCTCGCCCTGGGCTCTGCAGAGCCCTGTCCTCAGTCAGCCAGGCTGGGCAGAGTGGGCGCCTCCCTTCACTCCCGCTGGACCTGGCTTTGTCTAGAAGAGTTTGGGCCCTGCCTTGGGGGAGGGGACACCAGGAGGGTAGGGATGGCAACTGGGCTGGGAGAGGGAGAGGGGAGCCCTGTTCCTGGCCTTCCCAGGGTGCACTCCAGCCTGTCTCCTTGGAGCCCTCTCGGGGGGCGGGGGCGCTGGGGGCACTCAAGTGGGAGGTCTCAATGCCTCTTCCGCCCTATGGCTCTCACCTTCCCCCATCGGACGTTGGAATGGTATGGTCTGCAGCAGCCAGGGCCCCTATTCAGTGCCTGCCAGCTTCCAGGTTACCCGGGAGAGGGGCTCGCAGAGGGCGGGGAGCAGGCAGGGAGGTGGGCCCTGGGAGCCCGGAGGCCCCTCTCCCCTCCTGCGTCCCTGGGCCTCTCACCTTCCAGGCTTCTCCCTCAGCTTCCCAGAAAAGTGCTTTCCCTTCGAAGGTGGAGAAATGGGGGAAAGGCATTCTCAAAGGTCAGAGAGATCACAGGGCAGGAAGCTGAGGATGGAGGGACAGCCAAGGCTGTGCTCCTCAGTATGGTGGGCCCCTGGGTACCCTCCAGGCAGTGGCTCTCTCCACACACCCCACACATACCCCCACCCCACACACCTCCCACATACCCCCACCCCACACCTCCCACAGCCCACACACCTCCCACACCTCACATACACACACCTCCCACCCCCACACACACACCCCACACACCTTCCACACCGCGCACACACCTCACATACACCCACCCCACACACCTCCCATACCCCACCCTCCACAAACACCCTCACCCACATATCCCCCACCACCTACACATAGACATGATCAGAGAACAGAGCTGGCAGGTCTCACACCCACACACATATAATCAACCCCCTACACACCTCCCACCCCCACACACACACCCCACACACCTTCCACACCGCGCACACACCTCACATACACCCACCCCACACACCTCCCATACCCCACCCTCCACAAACACCCTCACCCACATATCCCCCACCACCTACACATAGACATGATCAGAGAACAGAGCTGGCAGGTCTCACACCCACACACATATAATCACCCCCTACTACTCCCCCCATCACTCACACACACACACACACACACACACACACACACACGCTCCTCCCCCAACCTTCCTTCTTCCCAGAAGCCAGAGCTTCCCTGGCAACAAGCTGCCTCCTTAGGAGCCTAAGCCTCAAGCAGCTTCTCCACTGAGGAACCCCAAGCTCCCAGAAACACAACACGGGGAGAAGCGGTGGCTCTGCCCAAGACCTGCGCCTGGAGCCCAGCCCCTTTTGTGGAGCCCTAGTTTGGGGCATTCAGCTGCTTCCTCCTGCCCTCAGCCCTTGACCACAAAAGCATTTTCTGCACAGCCTCAGACGGACGGGAGCCTCCCAAGGGCTGTCAGATCCATCAGATGAGGGGAGCCGTCTCATCCAGCCCCCTCAGGTGATAACACCGAGGTCTAGAGAGGTGTGGCCTGGCCAGGGTCACCCAGTCAAGAAGCAGCCACGCAATCCACCGCCCGGGGTGAGGTTCTGAGCACTCAAAAGGCTGGAGGAGGGACGTGTGGATGTGTGAGCTGACCTAGTCAAGCCTGGACCCATCACCCACCTTCTCCCCGTCCTCCCCAAGAGCCTGGAGGGGATCAGAGAACAGCTGGCAAGGTCCCCACCACAGACAGGGCAACATGGAGACATCAGCAGTCAGGTGTCCTTGGGGGATGAGAAAGACAGACACGTCCCTCTCCTGTCTCACACCCCAGCCACCGGGGGAAGCCACAGGCTTGGGCAGGACAGGCTGGGGTGTGTGGAGGGACGGAGAGGGACTCCACAGCATCTCTCTCCCTGTGGGCTGGCATTCAGGCTGACTTTATATCCTCCTTTCTCAGCTACAGGCCACAGACGCCGACGAGGGCGAGTTTGGGCGTGTGTGGTACCGCATCCTCCAAGGTGAGCAGGTGGTCTGGGAGGGCAGGGGCGGCCCTTCCCTGGGCAGAGCTTCTCTCGGCTACCAGGGGTCTGGGAGCCGAGGCGAGGGAGCCTCAGGACCGTACACACGGGGCGGGCCAGAGGGAAGAAATGGGGGCATTCTCCAGTCCCCTGCACCAAGTTAGAGATGCGGGTGCTGCATGTGAGTGGTATGGTCTGCAGCAGCCAGCGGGTCCCCATTCAGGGCTGCCAGCATCCAGGTTCCCCAGGAGGGAGGCTCGCGGAGGGCGGGGAGCAGGCACTGTCAGCTTGGTCAGACCCGGCCTCCCGTCCTGCCCCTGATGCGCCAGAGGGGTGGTGAGGACCGGGACAGCCTGCGGTGCCAGCTCCCCAGAGATTGTCATGGCCCCACATGTATCGTGGGCCCATCCCTTACCATCACTGTTGCCTTGGGCACAGGGCAGTGCCCCCAGCTTCCCAAAATGAGTCACAAAGCACTCATTTGAGAGGGAGGGAGGGTGGATCCCCAGCAGAAAATCGGGGTGCACATGGGAACGGCACTGGGCCAGCCCGGAGATGTCCACCAAATCCGGGCTTCACCCACCCACAGAGAAATTGGTTTGGGTTCCTCTTTTTGTGGTGCCCAGATCCCTCTGAAATATTGAATCCACTGACACCTCGGTGGAGGGGGTGGGGTGTCTCAGGGGTCCCCCAGGCTCCCTATGTGGAGGGTACAGAGTAAATTACCCGCTCCCTCCAGTCCAGCGTGAGGCAGGGGCCATGTCCTGAGACCTCTGGGCAGGATCGGCATTCTGGGGGCTGGGTCCCCCTTCTTTACCCCACAATCCCAAGAGGCTCCTGCTCCAGGACAGAGCCCACGCATCTCATCTGTCTCTCCACACAGGTAACCATGGCAACCACTTCCGTATCCACGTCAGTGACGGGCTCCTGGTGCGAGGGCCCCAGCCCCTGGACCGGGAGCAAGACTCATCCCACGTGCTGATAGTGGAGGCCTATAACCATGACCTGGGCCCCATGCGGAGCTCCGTCAGGGTGAGGCCGGGGGTGGGCTGGGGCGGCTCTCAGATATAGCCAGTCAGCCAGGCCTGAAGCCCTACCTCCCCTCCTGCACTGAGCTCAGGGCTGGGCCAAGGCCGTAGCTGGGCTGGGGAAGGCCACCAGTTGGGGCTGGGCAGGGCAAGGCTGCCACTGACTTGGGCTTTGAATGACACCTGGTGCTGGGGTGCCCAGCCTGGGATCTTGGCTGTATCATTTTTCTCTGAGCCTCAGTTTCTCCAGATGTGGGAGTCAATGGTGGGATTAAAGAGATGTCCTTACCATGCTAACCTGCTATGTCAACACACTCTCCACACACCCCACACATACCCCCACCCCACACATACCACCACCCCACACACCCCACACGCCTCCCACACCTCACACATACCCCCACCCCATACCTCCCACAGCCCACACAACCACCACACACCTCACATACACACACCTCCCACCCACACACACACACCCCACACACCTCCCACACCTCCCACATACCCCCACCCCACACACCTCCCACACCTCCCACACTGCGCACTGCTATGTCAACACAGCTCTCTAGCCTGAGCCGAGAAAATCTCCCGATAGGATCTCAGAGATGTACATGTTGCCCACTTCGTTTTAGAAACAAGGAAACTGAGCACAGAAGAGGCATTAGTGACAGACCTCAGAGCCCAGGTCTTTTGAGTCCAAGTTCAGTGCTCTTTCCACTGAAAGTGGCTCCCAAAGACCCCCGTGCCTACTTCCAACACAGCTCTCTAGCCTGAGCCGAGAAAATCTCCCGATAGGATCTCAGAGATGTACATGTTGCCCACTTCGTTTTAGAAACAAGGAAACTGAGCACAGAAGAGGCATTAGTGACAGACCTCAGAGCCCAGGTCTTTTGAGTCCAAGTTCAGTGCTCTTTCCACTGAAAGTGGCTCCCAAAGACCCCCGTGCCTACTTCCAGCTGCCCCATCAAATGTGTTCTTTTCTGCCCACCCTCACGCACCTCGGCCTCTCCCTTAGCAGCTAAAATCCAATCAACCTTCATCCTCCTGAATAGTCAAGAATAGACACAGACATCCCCCTGGCTGGGCCAGTTGATGCCCTCTCCTGCCCAGGGGCAGGGGGATCCTGAAATGACCTCTCGAGGTCACCCCACTGCACACTCAGCAGCTCACAGCGCCTTCCTTTAAACCAGGTGGAAAGTGAGTCAGACCCCAGAGGTGACGAGTGGGAGGGAGATGGGAAAAGGCAGGTGGAGGGACTTTTACCCAGAACCGAGTGGAGCAGCGTGGCTCTTCTTATCAGCCCCATCTGCAGCCGCTGTTTCCCCGCCCCCCTCCCCCGGCTGGAAACAATGAGCAGAGGCTGCGGGGTCACCAGCACTCAGCCTCCGCCCCCTCCTGCTGCTGCCCCTGAAACTCTGCTTCGGGAAGAGGCGAAGGGGAACCTGGTTCTACGGCCGCCCTTCCCAGTGAGAGCTGGCCGGGTGGAGATGGCTGAGTGGGGCAGACCCCTTGGGCTTTTACACCTTGGGGCTTCTTGGAACAATTCCGGAGCCCTGGTGACTGAGGGTGAAACACAGTTACCTGAATGCGCACTCGGGCCGTCCCCCAGGGCCATGCTCACCTGCGGGACCGTGTAATTGCTTATTCACGGGATGCACCCACTCACGTCAGAGCCTGCCCTTTGTGGGACCAACCTCAGGCCGCAGAGTGACTGATGTCAGCATAGCTCAGGTGGCTCCCTGGACTCCAAGCCTCCTAACCATAGCCCTGCTTGTGGCCCCCTCACCCTCCCAGAGGCAGGGGAGCACTTCTCTTCAAGGTTTGCTGTTGTCGGGGCCTCAGCATAGTGGCTGCAGCCCTCTTTTAGCCACAATATTTTTTAACAAAATGGTATGCAGCGCCCAGGGTACTGTGTCGAACAGATCAAAGCCAGGCTGTGCAGATCCATGCAGGGGTGGGGCCTCGGCCACACCTGCTCGCCACCCCCCTTTTGCTCCTTTCCCCAGAAACCCCGAGGAATGAGAAACCCTCACATCGTGCTTAGTCTGTGCCAGGCACTCTCCTGTGTGCTTCATGTACCTGAACGCATTTGATCCTCACAAAAGTCATAAAACACTGTTATTATGCCCATTTTAGAGATGAGGAGATTGAGGCAACAAGGCATTGGCCATTGTGTTTAGGGTCACACCGCAGTAAAGGTAGAGCCGGGCTTCATACCAGGCAGGCAGTCCGGGTCTGTGCTGCCATACACAAGGCTCTTCAGACCCCCGCTGCCTTATCCCCTTGGGTGGCCCTTGGAGCACCCAGCCTCACAGGAGCCCCAGGAACACCGGGACCTTTCTGAAGACAGTGCGGGACTTCAGCTTGGCCCAGGACTCGTGTTCCCAGCAGCAATAGAGAGGGTTTGCAGGGACCGTCCACGTTCTCCAGGTCCTGCTGCAGAGACCAGGGACGGCCGGAGGGAAGGGCCAGGGAGCTCGGAGTGAAACAGTCCTGTGGGGACCTGGGACTCACATGCACATCAGAGGAGTGCGTGCTCGCTCGCGACAGTGCGGGACTTCAGCTTGGCCCAGGACTCGTGTTCCCAGCAGCAATAGAGAGGGTTTGCAGGGACCGTCCACGTTCTCCAGGTCCTGCTGCAGAGACCAGGGACGGCCGGAGGGAAGGGCCAGGGAGCTCGGAGTGAAACAGTCCTGTGGGGACCTGGGACTCACATGCACATCAGAGGAGTGCGCGCGCGCGCGCGCACACACACACACACACACCACAGAGAGAGAGAGAGACACACACGCGCGCGCACAGGCGCGCGCGCACACAACACACACACACACACACACACACAGAGAGACACTCGCGCGGGCACATTTCCCGCCCTGTCCCTGTTGGAGGGCACAGCACTGGACAGAAAGTGAGGCTGGTTCTCCAGGGAGCCTAGCTGCTTAGTAACTGCTCAGCAAGAGCTTGGCAGACCTATGTGTTTCCTGTACATCTGTGCCTCTCAGGTTTGTAAACCACACACCATGTTGCCCCGTCTCTGCTGCGAAAAACAAGGCTGAAACCAGCAAGTGGAGAGTGGCTTGCAGCCAGCCTCGGGGCGGACGGGCCACACCCAGGCTCCGTGCTGCCTCCCTCCTCGTTTTATCCACCCTCAGACTAGCCCTGTTTTCCCCTCAACCCCTGGGCTCAAGGCCACAGGGAGAAGCAGATTCGGAAAGGGGAGGCTCACACTTTTGAAAGATGAATGGTTAGTTTCTGTTTATGGAAAGAGCGTTCCCGAAACTCATCCATGCAAATTTCCCCAAAGCCCCCCCACCCCACCCCGCCCACGGGCTCCCCAGCCAAACTCTTGGGGAAGCCAAACTGAGAAGGTTCCGGCTTATGAGCAGCTGTGCTCTGGGGTGGGCACTTCAGTTTACATAGTGGGTTCTGGGTGTCTGGGCATGAAAATGTAATGACTAAGCAGGGCTCCAGGAGCCCCAGGAGCAGGGAAGTAGAGAAACCTTTTTCCGCATATGCCTCTCTCTTCCCTCTGCTACCCCCTCCCCCACCCCCGAGTTCCCCACCATTTCTGCTCCCGCCAATGAAGCCCCTCACTTCTCTCCAGCCAGTTCCCCGCTAATCCCCGCGGGGCTGATCCCCGCGGCTGTGATCAATCAGAAACCGAATATTCGTGCTCTCAGACAGTCTGTGCCTCGGCCGCCATCAGTGCTGTGACCACGTGTGAAATCTGTGTTGCACATCATTGCCCTGCCCTGTTTGCTCCCTCTGCACCCCGCTAGCAAGTGCGCTGGCCCTGGCTCTGGCTCTGTTAGGCTGGAAGGAGGGTGTCTTGCCGGTTCTGGGGCAGCTTATCCCCAACGTAGTGTGAAGCGCAGTAGTGTTGGTAGATTGGGACCCAGAGGGTCCTGCCCTCCCTCTCCAGCCCTCTCAGTTACCGTGAGGCCTTGGGCTAGTTCCTCCCCATCTCTGGGCCTCTGTCTCCCCATCTGAGAAAGAGGCAGGAGCCCTGGGCCTCCCTGCAGCTCCTTGAGCACCAATAACTCCCCTCCCCACCACACTGGTCCTTGGGAGCATAGCTGGGCCACACCCTCCCTGTGCTCCTGTGTGTGAGGGGCAGGGGCAGGTGGGGTGGCAAAAAGAGGGGGGGGGAGTGCTGATCTCTAGCCATAGACATCTCTTCGTAAACATCTTTTAAATTGTATTTTTGTGATGCAAGATGTCTGTATTCATTAAAGAGAAATTAGCAAGTGCAGAAAAGCAGTGATGAAAATTATGCATAATTCCACAATTCAGACATAGCCACTGTCGTGGGCCGGGTCCCCAGACGCAGATCCTGCCACAAGGATTGGTGTGAAAGCGATTAATAGGAAGTGTCCCCAGGAAAAGCCGGAGGGGTCACGGGACCAGCAAGGAGAGGCAGCCCGCAAAGCAGCACAGGGGGAACCCTGACTCAGTCCCACAGGAGCTCTGGGCGTCGCCCCAGCCGCCCAGTCGGGCCCAGGAAGCCAGAGAATCTAGACTGCTCTCCTGTCCATCTGTGGCTAAGGGCTGCCCCTGGGGACGCAATTCCCAGGCTCCCTGGCTCTGGGTGCACGGTCCCGGCAGCTGGTGGGTGCTGTGCTGGCAGTGAGCGCCCCCAGGGGAGGGGCCTGAGAATCTGCAGGGTCTGAGCAATGACACGCTCCGCGCCAACCACCATTAACATTTTTACGTCTGTTCTCCCGGACACATTTTGGTATTTGAATGGGGTCACTTTAAAACTCTTGCAGGGCCTGGCGCATTTTGTCTTCATAACAACCTAGGAGTGACGTGGGACGTGAATTATTACACCGATATTACTGTTTCATAACTGAGGAACTTGATGGCACAAAGGAGTCACTAATTCCTCACAGGTTCCCACGGGGTTAGTAGCAGAGCCAAGAGTAAGATAAGGTTCGTTCCTTAACAGATGATGTTTGAGCACCTGCCACGTGCCAGGTACTGTGCAAGGTGGGGAGGACACGGTAACACCCAGACAGCCCCAGGCCTCTCCTCCCAGCTCCCAGGAGAGCAGTGACCACACACTCAGGCCCGGGGGCCCAGCTCTGGGCTTCCCGGTCTCCCCCACCCTGACCTTCCCCTCCGGCCGCTCCTAGGTGATCGTGTATGTGGAGGACGTCAACGACGAGGCCCCGGTGTTCACGCAGCAACAGTACAGCCGCCTGGCACTTCGAGAGACTGCAGGCATTGGCACCTCGGTCATCGTTGTCAAAGCCACAGACCGAGACACTGGTGAGGCCAGCAGGGGACCCAGGGAGTCCCATTCCCCAGAGTGACCCTCCCCAGCTCAATCCCTCCCACTCCTGCAGGGCCTGTCACCCTCAGGACCCCTTGGGCTTCCCCTGTCAGCAGCTCCCAGGCCAGGGAGGGGCTCCCAGGACGGTGTTGGTGGCATCCTCACCAGCCCAGGACTAGGAAGGCTGGATGGAGAGAGGAGAGGTCACCCGTTTGGGATGTCTAGATTTGTCATTGCAGCTGGCCTTTGGCTAGGAGCTGGGCAGGGCTGGGAGAGGTAAAGGACTGGTCAGAAAGCTGGTGAGGCCTGCTCCTCCAGCCAGCCTCGGCCCTGGGCCTGCCACACAGGCTCTCAAGGGGCAGTGTGCCCCGTTCCACAGGACAGTGGTCTGCCCTGGGGGAGCCTGGGTCTTGCTGAGGGCCACAGTTAGTGCAGAATGAGGGAGAACGTGGCCAGGTCACTGTGTTCCTCTTCGTGAGGCCTGGCTGTCTGGGCCAGGGATACGGCCAGGGAGGAGCTCTTTCCTGGGGGTCTGCTGCCGCCCAGAGAGGCTCCCTGAATTGCTCCTAGTTTCCCAGTTCCTGCGCGTCCTTAATGTCGGCTGTTCTGGTGGCTCCCAGCCCCGCGCGTCAGCATCCCCAGCTAAGCTGGGTGCGGGACGGGTGGAGGGAGAAGTAACTCCGCACGCAGTCAGGTGGGTTGCTTTCCCATTTATACAGTTTAGGTCCACACATCACTGGCCCAGTGGTTCACGACCTTTTCAAAGGGTCAGGAATCCCTTTGAGAAACGAGTAACGTCTGTGGATCCCTCCCCCACAAGATGCACATCCATTCAGAGTTTTGCAAATAATTTCAGGGAGGCTGGGATTTCCTGAGTGGTTTCATGGCCATTCCTCTGGCGGTCTAGAGCAGGGGTCCTCAAACTTTTTAAACAGGGGGCCAGTTTACTGTCCCACAGACCGTTGGAGGGCCAGACTATAGTTTAAAAAAAAACTATGAACAAATTCCTATGCATACTGCACATATCTTATTTTGAAGTAAAAAAACAAAACGGGAACAAATACAATATTTGTATTTGCATGTGGCCCGCGGTCCATAGTTTGAGGACCCCTGGTCTAGAGACTTCAGCTAAGGAAGTCCACCTCTGGCACCTGGATGAGGGTTATATTCCAAGACCCAGGGATTCTGGGTGGAGGAGCTGGGGAAACGGGAGAAGGTGTCCCTGGCACTGGAACCCTTTGGCTGGAGGGACCGAATGAAGACTTGGTCACCCCTGAGGATGCTGCCCATGTTGATCGAACACTTTTTAGATCAACACCCTCACTGCCAGAGATCCCTAATTACCCCACCGTCTTGTCCAAATACCCATGTGAGGTGCTTGAGCTTAAATTTTAAAGCTCCAGGAGCAAACCCCTCTGGCATATCTAATGCCCTGACCAGGCCCCAGAGGGGGTCCACAGCATGTGCTGGGCCTTGCCGTCCACACAGACCTTGACCCTGTCCTCTGCGGCATCCCTTGGGGCGATTCAGCCTACAGGTGGGGAGCAGTGCTCTCCGGGTAGGCCCCGGCCCCTCACCCTGCTGTAGGGAAGCCCCACCGCCATCTGGGATGGCACAACCTCTTGCGTCCTCCTGCAGGGGACGGTGGCCTGATAAACTACCGCATCCTGTCGGGTGCAGAAGGGAAATTCGAGATTGACGAGAGCACGGGGCTCATCATCACTGTGGATTACCTGGACTACGAGACCAAGACCAGCTACCTGATGAATGTGTCCGCCACCGACCAGGCGCCCCCCTTCAACCAGGGCTTCTGCAGCGTCTATATCACGCTGCTCAACGAGCTGGATGAGGACGTGCAGTTCTCCAACGCCTCCTATGAGGCTGCCATCATGGAGAACCTGGCCCTGGGCACCGAGATTGTGCGGGTCCAGGCCTACTCCATCGACAACATCAACCAGATCACCTATCGCTTTGACGCCTACACCAGCGCGCAGGCCAAAGCCCTCTTCAAGATAGACGCCTACACGGTGAGGGAGGCTGGGTCAGCAAGTGCTCTCCCGAGGAGCAGGGAGCTCAACCCTTTACAGCCAGCCAGCATTTATTCAGCTCCTTCTGTATGCAGGGCACACTGCTCTTTGTCATCAAGTATCGATAGACATTCCTGTAATACATCCCTTTTAATATTTAGGCGTAAGATAAAGTTTATACCTAGGCAACCAGGTATCCTTGTTACTAGATAATGAAAGCTATTCAGGTCATCGTGTTTCCGTTTTTACCTGGGCCGTTAGGAAGCTCCGATATAGATTTTGGGCTTCATTGCAACAGCCGGTATTAGCCAGGTGTCTGGTGCAGCTCTCATCTGCTGCCTGGCTCTCACTTTTATATCTTGGCTTTAGTGGTTTTTATAAGAGCCCCTTCTTTGAAAATAGGCATGGTAATATCCCTGCAGGGTCCCAGGCCTTGTCCTGAGCATGTTGGGAGCACAGAGATGAACAAGAGCCTTCCCAGCCTGCAAAGAGTTCTCAGGCTGGGGGTAGAGTAGGGATTGTCAAGGATACAGGTCAGAGCACCCAAGGGAAGATGTAGACAGACTGCAATACAGTGTAACGGAGTGTCTCTGGGGCCCAGATAAGAGCAGTCATGCCCGGCTGGGAAGCAGGAAGCCTGCCTGGAAGGGGTGGTGTCTGAGCAGCAGGATTGCAATAGTTATGTCAGACAGAGGGAGGGTGGGGTGGCACAGCGGGCAGAGTGTCGGGGTTAGTGAGGAGTCGGCTTTGGCCGGAGCCTGGGACTGCTTGGGGTGGGACAGGCTCTGCTGGTGTGTGCCATGTTTCACTCTCCCATCTGGACCCTCCCTGCAGGGTGTGATCACAGTCAAGGGCCTGGTGGACCGGGAGAAAGGCGACTTCTACACCTTGACGGTGGTGGCGGATGACGGCGGCCCCAAAGTAGACGCCACTGTGGTGAGTGATTCCCCGGGTGAGAGCCCCACAGGTGCATCCCATCACCAGCCCAAGGCACCCCAAAACCCACATCTTCACCAGCCACCCAACATGCAGGCGAGGCAGTAGGCGGGGGTTTTGATAGCCCAGGAGCAGCCTTGTGGCAGTCATGCCACACCTTCGGGGCGGCCTGGCCAGGATGAGACCTCAGACAGGTGGGGCGGGTGGGGGCAGGCATCCCGACAGGCCACTGCTTGAAACGGGGGCCAGAAGAGCTGCCGACTGCTAACCAACTGCTTCTTTGCCTTTTCTCTCCCGCGGCCTCCTCCTGCGGCTCTCGCTACAGAAGGTGAGTAGCGTGGACCCGGACTCTCTCCCGTGCTCTTGGCTGTGGCCATTGCTGGCTCGGGCCCTGAGTGGTGCTGGGCCTTCCTGCCTCCCTGGGGAGAGGATGTGTGCAGGAGGCCCCTGCTCAGGCCCTTCACGGCCGTCCCAGTTCACCCACTCTCACCGGAGTCCAGGCCCCGTACCCCGTGCCCAGCTCTGCCCTCTCTGCCCTCCCTGTCCTGCTGAGCCTCCAGGGGATGCTGGGGTGGAGGGCCCGCTAACAAGGAGTGGGTGGAACACACAGTGAAAGGAACGCTGAGGCCTCAGCCCAGCTCTGCCCCTCACCGGCTGTGTGACACAGGCCAGTTGCTCAGCCTCTCTGTGCTTCCTTTCCTCGGGTCTAAAATGAGGGTCAGGCCAGCAGCCCTGCCTTCTTCAGAGGATGTGAGGACGATGGCAGAGGAGCTGGTGGATAGGAAACCTTTGTGAACTAGTCTTGGAGAGAGGCATGATGGGAGTGGCATCTGTAAAGAGGACCCCGCCCTGTCTTGGGGGTTGGTGTAAGAAGTGTGTTTTACTACAGTGATGTGAAGTGGAGGGCACAGTGCCAGGGCCTGGGGGTGCTGGGCAAGGGCAGCGTGCATGGTGTGCTACTACCCTCAAGGACTCTCAGTAAAGGCAGGGGAGACCATGTGCTGGGAGCACTTCGGAGAGAGTGACCCCTGAGGTCAGAGGTTCCTAGGAAGTGGGAGAAGTGGGAGAGGCAGGTAGGTGACCCCAGGCTGGGGGCGGGTCCCAGGGGAGGGGCCCACTGAATGGCATCCTGCAGTGCGAATGAGAGCATGCAGCCATCATGGCTTGTGCACCAGCCAGTCTGGTCTAGGCCGCCTGGAGACACAGGAAGTGTCCAGCTCAGCATCAGCCTTGGCTGTGGCACATTTTCTCCCCACGGAGTCCCTGTCATATCAGCCTAAAGCAGTGGTTCTCAACCTGTGGGTCGCGACCCCTTTGGGGTTCGAACGACCCTTTCACAGGAGTCGCCTAAGACCATCGGAAAACACATATATAATTACATATTGTTTTTGTGATTAATCACTATGCTTTAATTATGTTCAATTTGTAACAATGAAATTGGGGGTCACAACATGAGGAACTGTATTAAAGGGTCGCGGCATTAGGAAGGTTGAGAACCACTGGCCTAAAGGGATAGGAGCAACCAAGTATTTGCAGGGAGCCAAATGTAGCTGCTTAAGGTCCTCCACCCCCGGGCTCCCTGGAGGGGCCCGGCTCCAGTGGCCCAGTGGTGGCTTGCTCGTGCCCCAAAGCCCCCACCATCCATGGGCCTAGCCTGGAGGTGAGTGAGACCACAAGCAGCACTGCATCTGTGCAGCTCCCCACAGCCCCCCAGGATCCCAGGGGGCAGCCATTGACCAGAGTCCTCAGTGGTGGGCAGTGGGCAGTGGGCAGGTGGCCTGTGTCCAGCGGCTCTTGGCCCTCCCAGCCACGGGAGCTAAAACTCAGAGTGGTTACGTGGGGCCCTTTCCCCGGGCCTCAGCAGCCTCATCTGTGCAATGGGCCAGTTGTTCCTCACCCTCGCTGGCAAGGAGAAGGCCAGGGGCCGAGGACAAGTAGAGACTGACAGGAGCCGGGATGCACCCCAAGGCTGCTAAAGCCCCTTCCTGGACCAGCCCCCCACTTCCTTGCATGGGCTGGCAAGGGCCTTTCGGGGCACACATTTCTGTGCAGGCCGCTGTAGTTCCACAGCCTCTTCACCCTCTGCCAGGCAAAACCCACACCCCTTTGCTCTGCCCTGGCTTCTGAGAAGCTCCCAAGGCCACTGCCCCAGATACGCCAGCCCTGTTAGCCCCAAACTTGTTGGAGGTGCGAGGGTGGAGGCAGGCTGAGGGGCCTTTTAGGGGTGCTACCGTTTCCTATGTGAGGCCAGAACCCCAAACCACAGCTCCCCTACACCTGACTCCTCCTGGGCCCCAGTAGCTCCCATGGGCCCCAGGAGGGGTGGGGAGGCCGCAGGAAGGGGCAGACCTGGGGCAGGGGCTCCGCTGTAAGAGTTCTTGAGTGTAATACCCTCAGGCCTCCAGGGGATGGGGCAGGGAGGTTTGGACCAGAAGGTCCTGGATGGGGACACAGACCCACATTAATTCCCGTGGACCTTGACCCCTGCCCTTCCTCCTCTGAGGCCAACTCTCTGATGCTGGGAAAACCTTACAAACATCATCGTGATCATCAGAGCAGTAATCATAGGGGAGCACTGACTGTGGGCCAGGCTCTTGGCAGGGCTCAGGGTACAACAGGAAACCAAAATCAGACATAATCCCTACCTTCACAAGCATAAGATATAATGGGGGAGAGACACTGATCAAAGTATCACCCCAATAAATGTATGCCACGTGAGACAGCTGATAATACAATGTCGGGGAAATCCAGGAGGGCTTCCCTGAGGAAGTGACCCAAGCTGAGATTCCCAGAAAGCATAGGAATTTACTCAGCCAAGGAATAAGACCATTCCAGGCAGAGAAAGCAGCATGGGAAAGGCCCTGCCATGGAAGAAAGCATGGGGAACCCACACAAGGCCTGGACCCAAGTGGGAGGGTTTGGGGTGGATCAGAGCACAGGGGCCTTGCTTATTGGTGCCCTGAGAAGAGTGTGGAGGGCATATTTATGCCCATTTCACAGGTGAGCACACTGGGGCTCCAGGACTTGGTAGAACTTCCTGACCAAAATCCATGATGGTTGGGGCAGAGTCTTGGAGAGTGAAATCATGGCCATCTGCCAGGCAGGAAGCAGGACAGGGACCACCCTTAACGTTTTGCTTGCTCACTTATTCCCCCAGCATCCTCGTGTGGTAGGTGTTCTCATTCTTATTTTCAGCTGAGAGAATGGAAAATCAGAGAGGTTTAATAACTTCTTCCAAAATCGCACAGCTAGTAAGTGGAAGTGTTGGTGTTGGTCCTGCTGTGAAGCCTGGGCTTGTTGCCTTGTGGTTTTGGGCTGGGTTTTTTTTTTTTTGTTTTTTTTTTTGGCTCTTTTTGGTTGTTGGGTGTTTTTTTTAGATTTTTTATTGATTTTTAGAGAGAAAGGAAGGGGGAGGGAGAGAGAGAATAAAATGTGAGAGTGAAACATCCGATCAGCTGCCTCCTGCATGCCCCCTCCAGGGATGGAGCCGACAACCCGGGCATGTGCCCTGACAGGGAATCGAACTGGCGACCTTTCGGTGCATGGGATGACACCCACCAACAGCCACACCACCAGAGTGCCTTGTGTCTTTATTTATTTTTTAAATATATTTTTATTAATTTCAGAGAGGAAGGGAGAGGGAGAGAGAGAAACATCAATGATGAGAAAGAATCATTGATCAGCTGCCTCCTGCATGCCCCACACTGGGGATTGAGCCCGCAACTTGGGCATGTGCCCTTGACCAGAATCGAACCCAGGACCCTTCATTCGCAGGCCGATGCTCTATCTACTGAGCCAAACCGGCCAGGGCTGCCTTGTGGTTTTAAAAGCTGTCTAGAGATAGGGGAGAGTGGCTGGGACCAAGAAGAGGAGGAAAAACCCGGTGACGAGGGAGGACGAAATGAATCTCCTCAGCAGGGTGTGAGGTGCTACAGGCTCCCGATGGGGTCCTAGGGCAGCAAGCAGGCAGGCCTGGGAGCCCAGAACCCCAGGACCGAGAATCTGACCTGGGGAGGAGGCCTGGACTGGGATTTTTAAAATCTGAGCCTCCTCCTGCCCTACTCAACCCCCTCATCAGTGACCCTGAGGGGCACCTGCGGTGCCACCCTCCTGGCCCGTGGCCATTGGCCATCCATGGGCTGGAGGCTGCACCCACAGAAGGGCCTTCCCTGCAGCTCGCTGTCCTCACGCTGCAGGACACCTGAGCTGTAGACCCTGAACGAGCTGCTCTTTGCCGTGTGCGTGCTCCTGGCTTTCGTCTCTCTTTTCCCCGCCTGTCCCCTCCCCACAGGGACCACCAAGCCACCTTCAGCCTCCCTCCTTCTGAGCCCCGTTCCTCTCCCTCTGATCCAGATGTGCTAACGAAGAGGCCTTCAGGCAATATCTGGCTGCCAGATGTGCCGAAGTCAGCCTGCACATAATTTTTTCTTTAATTTTTATTAATTACCACCTCATTCCACACACAAAATCTGTATTCCTAGTTCCTCTTGGAAAACAGGAAGCGGTGCGAGGGCCAGTCTGCCACTGCCTGCTGGGTTTGGAGCTGAGTAGCCCCACCCCCTTTAGTCGGGGGCCCTACCTTCCAGATCTGCCAGCCCCTTCCCTGCCATCCTAGCCTCAGCACTTGGTATGAGCCGCCCTCCTCCCCCAGACGCCTAGGAAAAATGTGCTCAGGGCCTTTGTGTGAAGTCAGGAGAGGCCTAGGCGGGCTCTGAAAGCGAGCTGATGGGCCAGACCGAGTGGAGGTCTGGTCCCCAGGGGCCCACGGTGGGTCCCTGGTGTTTGGGGCTGGGAGAGGGTGGAGGCGATAGGTCTCTGGTAACATTCACCCCCAGGTCTACATCACTGTGCTGGACGAGAATGACAACAGCCCTCAGTTTGACGTCACCTCCGACTCGGCTGTCAGCGTGCCAGAGGACTGCCCTGTGGGCCAGCGTGTGGCCACTGTCAAGGCCCAGGACCCCGATGCCGGCAGCAACGGGCAGGTGGGCATCAAGTGAAATAGCCCGGGTCAGCTCTCTCAGCAGGGGCTTCCCATAGACCTTCCAAGCCACCCCTTTACCGAGCAGGAAGCTGGGACCCGCTTCCTCACTCACCTCTCTCCGCCCTGACAGGTGGTTTTCTCTCTGGCCTCGGGCAACATCGCTGGGGCCTTTGAGATTGTCACCACCAATGACTCCATCGGCGAAGTGTTCGTGGCCAGGCCCCTGGACAGAGAAGAGCTGGACCACTATATCCTCAAGGTGCGGACCCGCCCCCTCAGGTCGCTGTTGACCACTTAGGAGAGCGCCTGGCCCTTCACATCCTGGTAGTCAGCTCCCCTGCTGTCACCAAGTACCGGGCGGCAGGCGGCACATCAGGGCCAAGAGCATGAGTGAGGCCAACCCGGAGAGGGCACCTGGGAGCCAGAGCAGGACCAGCAGGGGTTCCCGTCCCAGCTATGAGAGCCGGGAGAGAAAGCCTGGAAAAGCCCGGGCTCTTCCACAAATGCAGTGCGAAACTCGGGCAAGTGGTTTACTGTCTGGGCCTCGGTTTCCCCTCTTGTGCAATGGGCAGAAAAACCTCTGCCTGGCCTGCCTCTGCTGAGGTGAGGGGTCACGAAGGCCACCGTTACCGCTGAATTGCTGTGCTGGCATGTGTCCCGAGGGGTCTCTGGGGAACCAAGGTTGTGCTTCTGCAGGAGCCTGAGCCCCCAGGGCACTCCTGCAGGCACCCAGGAAGCACCGTGGCTCCCAGGACGGGCTCAGTCTGTGTCTGCGCTGCTCAGTGATTATTTGAGGCTCATTTGCCAGAGTTCAGATCCAAGTGCATGTGAAGCTAAAGGCAGGAACCCTGGGTCCAGTTGCAGGCCTGGGGTCATGGTCAGGGGCTGGCACAGCCCAGAATACAGTCAGGGGTAAGGTTGGGAGGTGAAGACTAGGCACACCCAAGTCAGATTGCAAATGAGGGTCCCAGGGCAGACAAGAGGTGGGCAAGCATTGTTTGCAACATGGGGCAGAAGGCAAAGGACTTAGGGAGAGCCCAGAGCTGGCGCCCCCGCCCCAGGGACAGGGATGGGCCAGTGAGTCTGTCTGTCCTTCCAACCTCCCCACCTAGTAGATAGGACTCCGTATTCCTGGTCCTAACCCACCCTTTAGCCCTGACCCCAGTCACCCCTTCCTCCTAGGTGGTAGCATCTGACCGGGGCACCCCTCCACGGAAGAAGAACCACATCCTGCAGGTGACCATCCTGGACGTCAATGACAACCCCCCAGTGATCGAGAGCCCCTTTGGATATAATGTCAGTGTGAACGAGGTGAGGACACTCCAGCACCCGTACAGACGGACATCTGGGGTGGACAGTGGGCATGAGCCGGCTGCCAACCACCTGCTTAAATGTCTGCCTGGCCCACTAGTCTCTCAGATCTCGGGGGTGGGGACAGTGGCTTATTCATAACTCTAGTCCTAACGCCTAGGCTAGGTCCTGAGTGCCGTGTCTTTGTGGAAGGAGGAGAGGAGAGGGAGAGAAGAGGTGGCCCTCTACCGCCCACAGGGAGCGGAGGTGTGCCCTGCGAGAGCTGCTTTACAATAAACCAGCTCTCTGGTTACTCAGTCCTACGGCTGGCCCCTCCAGGAGAATGTCTGCCCCGGCATTGCTGGGTATCTCGCCAGGTCGGACGTTCGTGAAGGCAGGATGGCATAGGGGTTTCGAGGCCAGCTCTCAGGCCAGCCTCCCGCAATTCAGACCTGGCTCTGCCACTGACGCTGTGTGACTCGCACACATTCCTTGCCTGCACCAGAGTTTTCTCATCTGTAACAGAGTGACACCAGGACCTGTAGGGGAAGTTATAGCGTTAACACAGCCCCGGCATGTAGTAGGTGCCCACAGAATGCTCGCCGCCACCATCTTCACCCTCCTTGTCATGGCGCCAGCATAGACAGCAAAGCTTTCTGGGGGTCCAGTGAGGCCCCTCGGCTCCCCGGAGCAGGTGCTGGGCTTTGCCCCATTGACTCCAGAGTGACCCGTTTCCTGTTCTCTTCCCAGAACGTGGGCGGGGGTACTGCCGTGGTCCAGGTGAGAGCCACTGACCGTGACATCGGGATCAACAGCGTTTTGTCCTACTACATCACCGCGGGCAACGACGACATGACCTTCCGCATGGACCGCATCAGTGGGGAGATCACCACGCGGCCCGCCCCACCCGACCGCGAGCACCAGAGCTTCTACCACCTGGTGGTCACCGTGGAGGACGAGGGCACCCCTCCGCTGTCGGTGAGTGACAGGGGCGGCCATGGGGCAGGGAGGGTGGGTGAGGGGCAACTGCGCCTTCTGTGTGAGGGGAACACGATGGGAGGGAACGGGGCGCTGTGCTTGCGTGATCCTTGACAGCGCCTTCATCGTGCCTTTAGTCCGTCGGCTTATGAGTATGTAGGGGGAGCCTGCTGAAGCGAGGATCTCTGTTTAGTCGTCTTTGCTCACACAGCTCTATGGGAAGGTACAAGTTGAGCCTGTACCTCGGGCCTGGCCAGCCCCCATACCACTTGCCAAGCTGTGTGCCTGTGGGGCCAGACTAACCCATGTGGTGGCGCCTCTGTGCCAAGTAGGAAAAGGTGCCCTCTGGCCTCTTTCCTCTCGTCATGTTGGTGTGATGCACCATCGTCATAGTAACGGGTCAGGGTTGGAAGGGGCTAATGTCCATGGGCTGGCCTAATGCTTGAATGGGCAGGGCTGCTGCCCAAGGTTTGCAAGATTGGAGAAGGAGGTGGGGGCAGGCAGGGCTGGATGGTGAGACGGTCTAGGGGCCATGGGCTGGGATTGGAGCAATTTGCAATTTGAGAGTGGAGAACTGTGAGCTGGCCGCATGATCTCGAGCAAGTCAGAACCTCTCGGAGTATCGGTTCTGTCATCTGCAGAAGGGAGATGGTATCTCTTTCATAGGTGGTGTTGGGAACTGAATTAGCTCGTGCCGGTGGAATGCTTGGTAAACCTTGAGGAGGAGGAGGATTGTATGAACCATCTATCACCACAATCATAACAACACTGCCTGACAAACCGAGCCAAACAGAGGGACATGCAACAGCCACTGATCTCGCTCCAATTCTGAGGCTGGCAGCTTAGACCTGGCTTAGCTGGGCGATTCGCTGCTCTCAGCTGTGCTCCCCCATGTGCTGGGAAGCTGAGTGTGGGCCCGATGGCTGTGCTTCTGGGGGTCAGTTGCCTGTCAGCTGGGGTGGCAGGGCAACTGGGCTACCTCTCTGTCCTCGGCTCCAAGGCTGGCCCATGCTTGTCGCGTGGAGCGAGACAGGGTCCAGGAGAGACGGCAGAGACTGGGACTGGAACAGGGTCACTTCGGCCACAACCTGTTGGCCAAAGCAAGTTGCAAAGCCAGCCCAGATTCAAGATGTGGGGAAATAAGCTATCTTTTGAAGGGATGAGCTGTAATGTCACATTGCAAAGAGTGTGGCTAGGGTCCACCCTGGGTACCCTAATTACAAATGAGGCCTCAGCTCTGACCCTCTGCCCCCAACAGGTGACTCTGTTAGGCCCCCTCCCCTTTGATGTTGGCACGGTGGGCTGTGGGGTCAGAGCAGGTCCTGGCTGGGCTCTTTATCTGAAGTGTCTCTGGGAGGATGGTGGCATTGGGCCAATCCTAGGGAACCACATGCTGAGAAGCCCAGGAAATAGAGCTGGCTCTGGGCACCCAATGGGCATCTCAGCCCACGGCTGCCCAGTGTCAGCACTGACCACTTCAGCCATTCACACCCAGTGGGCCAAGCAGAGGCACAGTTACGGGACACGTGTCACTAACTGAAGGGGGGCAGGGAAGAGTATAATTTTAACGGCACCTAGCTTCAGGGTGAATCATCTTGGTCATCGCTCCAGTAGCATTTAGAGATGTGTTTGGCTGCAAGTAACAGAAACCGAACTATGGAGTCATAAATAAGTCAGAAAGTACTTTTCCCACAGAACAAAAACTCTGGAGAGAATTACAGATGTCGTTGTCTGTGTTCAGTGAAGTGAGAGCTAATGCTTCATGCTCTTTCCCTCATGGTTGCGAGCTGGCTGCTCCAGCCCCAGCCATGTCAGCATCAAGTCAGGAAATGACAAGAAGACAAAGAGCTATGCAAGGCATTCTGCCCCTTTATCAGGAAAGCAAAAGGCTTTCCAGACCTACTCCCTGGAGTTCTGCTTATGCCTCATTAGCCAGATGAGGTCCACATGGGCACTCTAGCTGCAAGAGAGGCTGGGAAAGTGAGAGACGGGGTTATCAGGATGGGCTTATTGGGGGCCAGATACATCACTGCCTCAGACAAGAGCTGTTAGTGAGGGAGAGGCAAATAGATTTGGGGTGACCAACTGATAGCATTTGCCATGCTGCTCTTCCCCATCTGGACCTAGGCCAGTGAACACACCACACTGCCCCTCACTCCCCACCCTCCCCACACCCCACAGTCCCAGAGTTCCCCAGGGAGGCAGGCAGTGAGACCCGTGACATTCTAAAATCCTGAGTTTTGGAGGCATCTGGCTTCCTTTTGGTCCCCAGAAGAAATGGGCATCGGAGAACTGGGAAATCAGCCTAGGCACGTTTAACCACCCAGAATGGGTGGGTCACGACCCACGAAGGCCCTGCAGAACTTGGGACTGGTCCCCATGGCCAGAAAGAGTTTCCACCTTTTTACCAGACCCTCTGTAGAGACCCAGCCTGCCCGGTGGAGACCCGTGAGCCCTGTCTTATACACAGTCCCTGACATTCTGGCCTCCTTGAAGCAGGTCTCGCTGTACAGCTCCCTGGTGGAATGGGGGCGGGGGGGAAATGCAGTCTCCTTTTCTCTGCCTTCCTCATCCTGGTGCTCACCAGCCTGCTGCTCCCGGAAAACACAAGTAGGATCGGGGATGGGGTTCCCTGAGGCCACCATGGGCGGAATATACAGGGTGCTGCAAAAGTAGGTTTGCAGTTGTGAGTCCGCGAAACACAAAGTTAATACAATAATTAATAAATATTAATACAAGGATAAACTCTTTTTTGTGGACTCACAACTGTAAACGTACTTTTGCCAAACCATGTATGTATGGCTCCTGGGCTGTAATCCATAACACGGACACACAGCATCAGGTACCAGTGGGAAAGGATTTACGGGACAAACATTTTAAGTCAAAAAGAATCAATGCTTTTAATTCTTTTGTTCTGTTCCTTCAGACACCAGTGAGGAGCTGTAGTGGCCATCCCAGGAGCATATAGTTCATGTACTTATAGTTCATGTGTTCATTCATTCATTCCTTCATTCATTTATTCATTCAGCCAATGTCCCCCAAATGCCCACTATGTGCCAGGCACTAGAGATACAGAAATGAAGGCAGCATGGTCCTTGCCACAAGGAAATGCAATGAGGACATTCATAGGCAAGGCCGAGGTACAGATGGGGCACTGAGGAGCACTAACAAGGATTCAGGGAAGGCTTCCTGGAGGAGGGGACACTGGGCCGTCTTGTCAGTCATAGTTAGCACAGCAAAGGGCAAAGCACATAGTGGCTCCAGGGATCAGCCCAAACAAAGGCTGAAGAGCAAGTGATAATCAGGAGTGGGTTTGGGGTTCACAGCAGCATTCAGAACCGAGAGCAGGGCCCACACTCTACATATCCTCCCTGTGACATTCTGCCCCAAGGGCTGGTCCCACTAATTTCTCAAGCACCCTCTCCACTCTCCTGGCCCAGCTAAGCCAGGCTGAGGATGGGGCAAAGCTGGCAAGCTAGGACCCTGCAGCCAGTGCCCAGTTAGGATTGGCATTTGCCTCCAAGGAATGTTGGACCCTTGAAGATCTGCTTCCACTAACCAGACTCGAACCTCTGGACAGTGAACTCCCAGGGTTATGCGTGCCAGAGGTGACCAGAAGAGGGCTCTTTTCTGCTGGCGGACAGGTTCGCTGTGTGGGTATTCGAGGAAGTAGATGGTCCCAGTCCCTCCTGGACCAGCCAGAGCCTGGGCAGCATTAGCCCATCCTGAGGTTCAAGGAAAGGTCACCATGGTCTAATGGGGGTGAGGAGGGTATGTGCAACCCTGTACATATCTGTCCAGAGATGCCCAACAGACCCACACCCCATCCTCCTGTTCCCACCACAATTATCTGCCTAGTTCAAGCCAGTTCCCACTGGCACAGGACCACCTTCCTGTAGGACAAGGTCAAGTAAGATTCATTCATTCATTCATTCATTCATTCATTCCCAAATACATGCCAGGCCTGTGCTAGAGGCTAAGAAGTCAGAGATGAGTTGGGCACGGGTCTGCCCTCAAGAAGCTACAGTCTAGTGCAGTGGTTCTCAACCTTCCTAATGCCGCGACCCTTTAATACAATTCCTCATGTTGTGGTGACCCCCAACCATAAAATTATTTTCATTGCTACTTCATAACTGTAATTTTGCTACTGTTATGAATCGTAATGTAAATATCTGATATGCAGGATGTATTTAGGCGACCCCTGTGAAAAGGTCGTTCGACCCCCAAAGGGGTCACGACCCACAGGTTGAGAACCGCTGGTCTAGTGGGAGAAATGGACGTGGAGCAGTGAGCAGACGCTCTGTGATGTGATAGAGAGCTAGGACTTCACAGCCAGCAGCCAGGGGACAAGGCACCATTTCTATCCATGTCTTAAAGGAGGAGGATCTCTAAGCAGGGGACGTAGTATTTAGCTACCAAAGGCCTTCCCAAAACAAGAGAAATCCTCTACTGAGCCCTCACATCTCTTCTTCCCTACCCCGGCCCCTCCCCAGCCCTACAACCCTTCAACCCTACCCCCACCCCCAATTTCCTGAGAGCCGGACATTCCTGCGAATAGCCTAGGCCGTCCACGCCCAGTTCTCAGCGCCATATCACCCAGAGCTTGGAACAGCTGCACTGCAAGGGGCATCCGGGCCAGCCCAGGCCTATCACACAATGATATGCCGCCCGGCCAGGAGAAGGCATTGTACAGCCTCAGTCCCCGCTAGCCACAGCCAGGGAGGCCAGGCTTGGGGAGGGTCTAAGTGGCCCTCTGGGAGGCCCCTGCCAGAGGAAGGGCCGGGCCCAGGGAGGAAGGACGGAAGGCAATGGGGAGGTCAGAAGGGGAACGGGGCGCTGTGCTTGCGTGATCCTTGACAGCGCCTTCATCGTGCCTTTAGTCCGTCGGCTTATGAGTATGTAGGGGGAGCCTGCTGAAGCGAGGATCTCTGTTTAGTCGTCTTTGCTCACACAGCTCTATGGGAAGGTACAAGTTGAGCCTGTACCTCGGGCCTGGCCAG